TATCCACTGTGCAACCCAGATTATAGGAGGCATGGAACAGCAGCCAGGTGGCAAGTTTAAGTGTTCCAGGGTTGACAGGACAGTTATCATGGCAGAGTCAAAACCCAATGTCTAGAAAATTCTTCCAACCACTATGCATGCAAAATTGTAAGCAGAGGACTCAATTCTCTTTAATAGATAGTCCAAATACAAATTAAACTGATGTCTAGCAGGAACACATCTGGTAATGCAGTATGAACAATTATAAATGTCTCGTTTTCCCTTATTTTCTTAGAATTATGCAAAATAAGCTTTAACAGAACTAATTCTCAAGAAAAATTACTTGAGGTCATATTAAAATCTACAAACAAAATTAATCAGCAAGATCTTGGATTTCTGGTAATGTGATTAATATGAGTGAATTCTAATCATCTAGTAAAGCATTTAAATTACTTGCTGATTGAGCACAAACACGGACAACAGTGAAGAAAACATGTCATATAATGCCACTACAAGGCAGTGATAACAGTCACATAAATTAAGAGCACATGTGAAATTGGTCAAAGCACAAGAAAACCTGAAAAGCCCTGAGATTTTTTTATAGTGTGTATAGGAAAATACCTTAGTAAAGGCTTTCCAAAATTTGACAACTCTAAAAATTGACACAATCAATTATCAAATAATATGTTGTAAACTCTCAACAATAAAAAACTAATTTTGAGCCGCTATGCTACTTGCAAATTATTTTCATATGAAAAAACAACAACCTGTGGAGCAATAACCTGTGAGGGAAAAATACTGCAGATTTGTGCCAGAGAACTAATGTCATAGAATTATTATGAATTGTAAAATGTTTATAATAGCTCAAAATTTTGTAGTTTTAGAATTTCCTTTCTCATCTTCTGTGTCTGATTTTGCACTTTTGCTTGAAGAGGACCCACAGAATAAAATAAGCTTGAAGCCCACAAAACTAAGACCTATCCTTGGTAAATATCCATATTCAATTCATTGCTTTTCAGTTTTCACCCACCAACTCTGGATTAACCTTAAGTATATGTATAGAATAGGTAGCATAATCAGGAAGTCACCCTTCACAAACCCCCTGAAATAACCAACCAAGAAGAGAATCATCACTGATACATACTAAAACCATCAGGCAAAAAATTATCACCTCACAGATTGCTTGCTACCTGCCCTAAAAATGGGGACTTCCTTAAAAGGATTAAGCCTATAATTAATTCCCAATGGAAGACAACCTGGACATATGTCCTTCCTGATATAATGCAATATGGAGTATACACCAGCACCTCCATGGAGTATTCTTGCCAAAACCAGTTGACGCTGAATCTAATTAATCGTTTAGACCTAACTTGTGGGTTTTCGGAAATGCAAGGATAAAAGGGACAAGGTAACTCTCCAGAGAAACAAGTAGGCAATGCTAGAATGTGACACATTCTATAAAAACAAGAGATCTGATCTTTTCCAAATGTCAAGGTCATAGAAAAACAAAAAGAGGGAAAAAACTCTCCTAGAGTAAAGGAGAATAAGAAATATAAAACTCAAATGTAATACATGAACTTTAGATGCCAGTCCTCTCCCACCTCAGAAATATTATAAAAGACATTTGAACACTAGGAAATATAAATATGGACACTAGATGACATCAAGAAATTACTGTTAACTTTATTTTGTATGATAATAATAATGTAGCTTCACAAAGGATATAATTTTGGGTTTGTTTTTTTGTTTTTTTGTTTTTTTGTTACTTGGGATCAAATTCCGGTCCTTGCGTTTGTGAGGCAGGCACCAGAACCACTGAGCTAAATCCCTGGCCCAAAAGTATATAATTTTAGGAGATGCCTGTTCAAGTTTTCAGTGGTAAAGTTATAATGACATTTGCAACTCACTTTCAAGTGGTTTAGCAAGCTTTATGTTGAAATTTTTTGTAATAAAAAGTGAATATATCAATTATGTTTTTCTCTTATTTGCTCAATCTAAGAAATTTTAAGTAGGGTCGAAGTAATTACTCTTGTCACACATTAGCAATGAACAATACCCAAAGCCAAAGAGTTAATGTTTTCAGAACTGCCGTAATATTTCAAAGAATCACCCAGGGCCCAAATGCAGTCATGGCCTTCTTAATTAGTGTTTATTAGTGGTGTGAAGTATTTTTAGGCTGCTGTCATTCAGATAGAAAAATCATAGGAACCAAAGGGGGTATGGAGTAAAACTGAAACAAACAAAATTAATTAAGAGTTGACTTATTTTATTCATCTCAGAAAGAAATTAGGGTATGTTTCCTTTCAGGGACATTGCACACTTCCAGTGATTTATTGAAAAATTAAAAGGGTTAAGAACTTTTTTTCATTTAGGAGGCACTTTGTTCTGAGTTATCTCTTTGATGCCTTAAAACGGACTTGATAAACTGGGAAGGCAAGTAATATTCCCATTTTATAGGAAAATGAGGCTTAGATAGACTGTATGATTTGGCTGAGTTGCCACAGCTAATAAGCCCAGGTCCCTGTCACAGCTAACCACTGGTGTCTAGTATGGTCCCTCAGTGACTGACTTTCTCTGAGTGTCGTTCATTTCTCTAAGCTTTAGTTTCCTGCCTACATGGCCTAAGGCTCATATGGAAAGATTTTGGAGGTTCATAATTTGAGCTAGAAAATAAAACCTGGTCTCAGAGCCACCTTCCACCCATCAACAGGATGCTGGTGGCAGTGAGAGGAGAAGAGGGACAAAAGCCTAACTTGTGAAGAAGGTGGCCTCCTCCAGTGGCCTGCACCCCTCAGGAGCAGGGACTCCTTCAAACCCAGTCTCCTAACAGGGTCTTAGGACATGAAGGAAAATGAAAAGACAGGCGTGGAGCTGAGCAATCACTGACAAAAGGACACACTAGGACTGTGAAAAGCAAAAGCACCACATAATCAAATGAGTGTGATTACTTCACTCTCAAGTGGTCAAGTCCACTCCCATCACAGTGTCCAATGGCTGCCTGCTTGGAGTGGCTTTCCTTTACAAAACTACCTAGCTGGGGGAAATTACCAACTCCATGGCTTTCACAAAACACAGAGGTCCACTGAATGTTTGCTTTGGCAGATTTTTTTCCTCCCAAAAGGCACCCCATATAGTTCTACAAGAAAAGCAAGCTTTGTTCTAAAGATTTACAGTGTTTCCCCAATGAAAATTCTAATTGACAACCACCAGGAGAATAACAATACAAATCTATGAGAGCCCTAGTTTCTCCCTTTCTTCTAAGATTCATCTCAAAGAAGCACTCACTTTTTCGGTTCCTTGGACCAGTGTTTAGCTCATTCTTTATTTGGATACATGCATAAATAGATGCTTGGATACTCACAGTTTATCGTACAAAGTAGTAAGATCTTAAAAACCAAATGATTTATTTTTTCAAACTTCAAAGACAGGAAATTTCACTTAATTCCCAGGCTCAAAATAGGAGGTACTGCCATACAGAATAAGCATATTACACAAAAATGTAACCATGCCTTTTCCATGTAAAGAGGAGACCCTTAAAAAATGCATGATGAGATCTTCAGAAATAGTTGCATGAGAATATTTAAGACACTGTTATTCAGTGGACTCATTATAGGATAAAAGTTCAAGTACCAGAGGGAGTAATTTTCATATGAATGTTGTGTGTTGCCAGGCACATACAAGAGCCTATAGTCTATATAGAGAACCAAGTCACATCAAGCAAGTCAGGGGAGCTGTGAGTGACAAGGTATAGAGAAGGCTGTTCAGACAAGAGACAGACATTATTGGACACTTTTTCAAAGAAAACTTTGAAGATTTTGTTAGGCTTAGTTGTACTGTCACAAGTAACAATACAATTGTAAATGAGTAGTGTTCAATGCCACATCACTGCCATTATGGACCAGCTGCCAATGGCTGCCCATGATGGGGAATTAGCATTAAAGAAAGATGCAAGGTTATTGGGCTGACACACACACCCCAACATGAATATTCTCAAATGACGTACAACACCCAACACAGTTACACAAATCAAAACCAAAATAAAAAACTCCCTGTCTTATCAGATATGAAGAAATAACTCCTTACTTCTTTCTGAATCTTCCTAAAATCTCACCCTTCTCTGCAGTGTCCAGGTTGCCACAGTCATGGTAAACAAACGAAGAACCATGTGTTTCCAATTACATAACACAGATTAAGTGGAGTAAAGCTAGTGGAAAAGGTACAGAAAAATAATGCCATCCATCCTTTTTCTAAACAGAAAATAAAGAAAGGAACCACAGAGAGAAAGTACAGCATGACTGCATACTTGGACAGGAGTCAGGAGGCCTGAATCTCAACTAGTACAGGGTCTCTCGGGAGCCACCAGACAAGTCTCTTAAATTCTGAGTTTCCATGTCCTCAACTGTTCAGGAAAGGACTCATCTAGATCACAGATCTGAAACTAAATCCTCAGAGCCCTATGGTTTCATAGAAGTGCCTCGCAGGTGACCACAGCAAGAACAAAGTAAAGGCAAAGGGAACCATGCCCTGTGCTTCCCTTGAACCCAAAACACCTCAGAGTTGATCCATGTTATACATTGGGTTCAGAGTAAAGGCCTTTGTTTAAAGAGTTCTATTATCAAGATAATTCATAACTAAAATGTCTTAAAAGCAATAGACCAACCAAAATATCTTACGCTTTTTAAAATCTTTATGTATTTTCTATGTGCCTTTTTGGAATATTATTCTTAGAGGCAACTACTGCATATTAGATTTTTGTATCCAAATCTGAATGTTTAGGTTCTTTTATTCCTACTTAAATAGCAAGGAAACTGAAAATTCAACTAAGACATATACCCCAAAATTATACAACTCAGTAAATGGCAGGATTCAAAGACAGGAATGACTGATATTAACACCACTAAATTTGGTCTCTCTCCTTAATGAACTCCTCTGTAAAAAAAATTGTTACTTCATTATCATTGCAATTATTTTCCATGAAACATCAAGTTCTTCATTTTTATTCCCTAAGAGTAAACACTTACCCTGGTGAGAAGAAATGAATAGCCAAAAGTTCTGCCCAACAAGCAAGTTTGTTGGGTACAGGAAAGCCCAAAACGTTGACAAAGCCTCCAGGGCAGTAATGGTTGTTAAGAACTTTCAACGCAAACAAAACTCCTAAAAGAGAATACAGAACACTCTAATATCAGCAATCCAAATGTGGAGAGAATCAACATTTACAAAGAAAACTAACTCAACTTTAAAACAATTGTTCTGCCACCTGCCTCGCAAGCGCAAGGACCCAAGTTTGATCCCCAGTACCAAAATAAACAAATAAATAAATAATAAAACAATTATTCCAACTTTTTTCTTGGAAACATACTCTACTCCTTATAACCTGGCATTTGTTAAAAAGTCCATATTCAAGGTAATTATCACTTTGATGTTATTTAACCTGGAATTTCATCTCAAGTCTACTAAATATACAATGGTAAAATGGGACTAACATAGCAACAATGGTATTAGATGCCACTGAACTGTACACTTTAAAACAGTTAATTTCATATTAACTTTTAACTCAACTTGAAAATGCCAATAATATGTATTTTTCTACCCTCTAGAAAGAGATGTTGAAGGCTGGACTATTGCTTCTACCAGATTAGATGCACAAAAATGTATTTGAGGGAAGGGGATAAGATGGCCAGGAAAACAGGGAAGGATTCAGTTTTCTTTTCAATATTATTTTGCTCCTCTCCTTCCCATTCTAATATTTAGAACACTTAACTTTAATGCTAATGGCAATTTCAGTCCCATGAATTATCTGTAAAAAGAGAACGAGTGAGGAGGAAAGGTGTAAAGCAATGCAGCATATAGTTAAAGTCATGCAGGCTGTTAGACTCTCAGCCCTACTACTTATTAGCTGTGTAACCCTGAGCTAGCTTCCTCTTTTCCTGGGTCTTAGCTTTCACATCTACAGTATCAAGATGGTACCACTTCTCAACGGATCTGCTGCATAAAACAAAGAGGACACAGAGTGATTACCACGGCTCCATCAACATGAGGCACATGGTGAACTCATTTTAGGGTGTGGTGTATTTATTCTAATGAAATTACTGGAAGCCATAAGCAGTAGGTAGCCGTGGACTGAGGCAATGCCTCCCCTTTCTCGCTAGTAGTTCTAGAACGTTGTAAATGAAAAATCTTAAGATAAATAGAGAGCTGGCCAGATCAGCCTGGGCTGTGTTCTAGCCCCCTCTACAACAGGATGTCCTTTAAGGCTCTGCTCAGCAACTCATATGAACCTCAAGTATACATCTAGGTGTATAACCGAGACTGCCTTTTGGGCTTCCTCATCTGTATGTAGCACAAATGGGGCCTCTACACCTGGATCGCATCACCCGTAGGGATAGTGCACAATGATTTGCTGCCTAAGTTGATAAATTTGGTTTGTGTAATTGTTGCATATGAACATGTTCTGACTCCCCAGGTTCAGAAAAGTTGGTAACTGGTACACTGTCAATCTGCTTCATAGGCACTCCCGTCTTTTTTGAAAACACTTAATCACAAACACACCTATGGGTTCCTCCATGGCTCTACCATGATGGGGCAAATGTGTGCTTCCAATGCTACAAGTCCTGCAAAACCACCTCACAGCAGGCCCTTAGACTGTCCAAAAGTGAATGTAACAGCATGGTATGGGACAACAAAAATGACGCTCCCTTGTGCTCTGATAAGCTTGCTCTTCCTGATACAAGTCCCAGCACCCCTCAACCACTCAGAACTTAATTCCATTACTAACCATGGAGCCACATCCTCCTCACTGCCTAGGTGCACACTATATCAGAAATTTAGCCCCCTTACCTGAGAAACCTACAGCACAGTTCCTTCTGAAGTCAGGCTCATCCATGAATTCAGCACAAGCTACTTGTAGGAGCAAATATACCACCCCAGTGAGCAAGGAGAATGTGGTGAGGATGTAGGCAAACCATCTGCTTCCTAGTCTTCTCTCCAGATTTATTCCTTTCCACAACATGGACACCATGTTAAAATACAAATGCCAATCGTCAGCATGGTGAAGGGGAGAAAGCAACAAACGCTGCCAGTCTTTTTGCTGGTAACACTTCTCCACGCTAAGGCAAGAGTTATACAGTGGCTTCAGAGGATTCAAGAAGAACCAGATGTTGACAGCCAAAGTTGCTAAGGTGACGGGTGGGATATTGTTGATCCCAACTTGGAAGATTTGAGAAAAGAGCAGAAGGAGCCCAGTATTAATTCCTCTTGATCTCCGCTGCATGGTTAGACAGCAGGAAAGCAGCCCAGTGATGAGAGATGTGGTCTGGTTTTAGGAATTCAAGAAGGTGAACCTAAAATACACAACACATGTAAAAATCCATTAATTAAGAATTAGCATGTTGATAAGACATTCACCTAAGGATGAGCTCATATTAGGTGTCTCTTCCTCCCGTTCTAACAGAAACATTTACTTTCAGGGACTTCCACGGTAGTATCCAGAATGCTGGCTGTCCTGACTTCTTTCATTTTTCATTCTAAAATAGAAATTTTATCCCAAATCTCAAAGAACTAGTTAATGGATGGGGTATGTTTTCTCTGACTAATTCACCATGAAACTCTAACATGTCTTCCTTATTTAAAAAATAAATTTAAAAAGCTCAAAACCTATGAGAAACCTGCAAAGTCAGTGTGCAAGCATTAAATAATTTCTACTTAAAACCCTGGCCAAATTCTTTATCTCTTTCATTTTTTAAAAGAAATATTCAAAATGTCAAAAAGTAGATTTTAAGATCCAAGCATAATTGCATTCTCTTTCAACTTCCACACTACCAGGTATCAATTTTTAAATTTTTTAATTACAATAGTGGCACAGTATGTAATAGCTAAAACTTGGAAACAGCCCATTTGCCCATCAATTGGAAACTGGATAAAGAAGAGTGGTTTTTCTATAAAATGGAATACTACTCAGCCATAAAGAATGAGAAATTAGATTCATTCATAGGAAAATGGATACATATTGAGGATATACTCCTAAGTGAAATAAATAAGTCACGCATGTAAATACCAAATAGTTTCTCTGGTGTGAATAAACTATAATAGTACATAAGATCCTAATGAGGTAATTGACAATGTGAAATAGGAAGAAAAGGGCTAAACATGTAGGGAAAGTAGGAAGGGTAGGGGAAAAGTAATAAGGGAAAAAAATAGGAGAAAATGAAAAAATGGAAATGTTTGTAAATGGAGAGGGGAGGAGGGGGTGAAGGAAGGGCAGGGACAAGGGGAAAAAATGAGAACCAAGACCTGTCATATAAGGGTACAGTTCCCAATAATGAATGTAACTGTACTGTATACCTAAAATGTAGCAATAAACTCAATGAGGGAAAAAAAATTTTTTTAATTACACAAGAATTTCAGTTTTCCAAAGTTACCTGTATGACAAATCCTGAATTACAACATAGTCTTTATCTGAAGAGCTCATTTTCTACTAAGAAGTGAACCAACCAACATCTGCCATATAAAGTTCTATACACAGTTACGAGGGAGCCCAGAGCATAAGCACACAATGCTGGTCAAGGACAGGACTACAGCCTCAAAGGATGCACTGGGGCTCGCTACAAGGAAGAGTTCCATGACTCAGCAGTCCTCTTCTTCACTTCTTCGATATGTGGCATGTTTTGGCTGACAGAAAGCAGAGGGAGGGATGCTTTAAGAGCTCCAAGCCTAGAGACCTCACATTGCTTTGCAGGCTTCTTGCTCCTCAAACCCCTTCAATAACCATGTGGATAAATGTGGGCTAGTCTGCTGGATGATGAAAGAAAGACACACACTCCAGTCACCTGATGGTCCTGGCCACTGGCCAGATAATGCCCCAGAAACAAAGCTGACTAGCTGATTATAAATGCATAACGAGTCCAGCTGAGCTCAACCTAATCTGCTGAACTACAGAACAGACAGCTATAAATGTACTGTTTACCACCAACTTTGGAGGGGTTTGTTATGCAGCAATAAGAAGACAGAAGGTATTTACTTGGGAGAAAGACTGGTTTATGCTCAAGAGAAAAAGCTAGTAATGAATGAGCAGGAGGCAAAGACACAGCAAAACATGCAAGAGATAAATAATCAAGTGCTTAGAGGGAAGAGCCTTTTTTAACAGAAAGGAAAAAATGCCAGATGTAGGTATAAATATGCAGACTGGGGAACTGGACACTGAAAAAGTTCTCACTTAGTGGTCTGTGTTTTCTTGTGGAGATTTCTTGGCCCACAGCCCCAGATCACTCACTCTGATACCCCAAAGATTCTTCCTCAGCACAATGGACAGTGGCTTTCAAGCAAAGACCGCAGTCTTGGACTTACTGGCTCTGTAGTCTAGGGCATCACTGAACTTTCTGAACTCCAATTTCTTCACTTTACATTAGGAATAAAACTTATTTCCTACGATAACTGTAAATGCAAAGAACAAGGACATGATCATTTATATAAGATACTATCACTTATGTGAAAATTAGTTCCTTTGCAAATAGCAGAATCCTAATAAGGCTCCTAAGTGCTTCCTAGCTCCTCTTCACCATTAAGTGCTTATCAGCATCACACTCAAAGAGGCCCCTAAAATTATGCATAGTGTATATGCATGTGTATGTGTATACACACACACACACACACACACAGTAGCACAACCAGACTTTTTACTGATATGGGCTTATCACTGTTCATTCCCATAAACTAGAGAAATTTTAAAAATTTCAACTGAAAAATTCCCAAATAACATCAAAGAACTGACCTTTTTTCATACTGAAACTTACGCAATGTTCAATTTTCCAAATACAATGACTATTTTGCAATTCCCCCACATAATTTTATATGGGTGTGTATATAAAATACATGAGTATCCGTGTGTGTATATATATATATGCAACCTCATTAACTTATAAAAGGAGTAATGGAAAAATATGGTCTCGATCAATGTTCAGCTTACAATGAATCACAAAATAAACCCTTCAATATCAGTGCAGATGGTGTCCTCTGGATGATGGGCTATTTGCAACAGCAAATTAAAACTAATTACATCTTCACTTTTAAAAAAAGTTTCCCCTCTGTTAGGATCATTAGTGATGAGGAATATAAATAAAAAGACAGAATCTTTCCACTCTCACTTCCCTCCATGCACCCCGGCTTGTATAATTTTGCCTTCGATACTTCTGACCAAATCCAAAAGTCTCTTTCCATTAACAAGCTTCCTCACCTCCCAGACCTGATCTTGCCACTGGTGACAGCCTTGCTCTCCTGTGGCTTCACCTTCTTCCAATTCCCTTCCTCTGTTCAGTTTTCCTCTATACTTACTCTCACCAGTATACACTTAAGAACCTTATTGCTCGTGTTTTATGTAATTCTTTTTATTGTATGATTCCCAAATTTATAGTTTTCAGGCTTCTGGGACATAATCTTATAGAAAAAAGTCTGCCCTATGTCAGTTTCTGATAAGTGAGTTTTCCTCTTTCCTACAGGATGATGGCCCAGCTAATTCCTTCTTTTACTGTCTATTTAATAAAGATTTATCAAGTGCAAACTGTATGCAAGTGCTAAGCACTGGAGATACAGCGAAGAACAAAACACTTATAATCCCAGCCCCTTCATAGCCATAAAAAATACTGGTTGCAGGAAATAAAAAAAATCATTACATTGTGCTGAGTCCTCAATGAATACATATTTAATGCACAGGCAAATGTAGTCTAAGTGAGAAAAACATAATATCTTTCTGGGTTCTGTTTTCAGAAACAAAGCCCACTACAGTACCTGTATCGGTAGAATCTAAGTTTTGAGTTTTAAGTAGCAAAGACACATCAGCCATGTTTCATAACAAGAATACAGAAGTTTCCTTCCTGATAAATTATAAAATCTTTCATCCAAAATGAGGGATGCAGCTTGATACAGGGTAAATGTAGAGATTCCAGCTGGACAATGTGAAGTTCAAATTTATAACTTGACCTTGTGGGCAAGGCAAGCACAGTCCTTGCAACCCCGAGAAACAGATCACAAAAAATATGCATCCTACTAGGACAAAACTAAAGCAAAATATAGGACTATAGAAAAAGAGTTCATCATGGTATCATGGACTCTTTTCAGGCCTAATTTATACATGATTCAAGCTATTTAGAAACAGTGCTTTCATCTTCCTTTTACTGCATACATCAGAACAATTTCCTGTTAACCAATATGTTTCATTTTGCTGCCTATATCAGAATCCCTTCCTTTTAACTGATACTATGTTTCACTTTTGGTTTTAATATGTGTTAGTACAAATATCTAGGGACAAATTCTTCCAAACATCTGAGAGACAAACTATTCAACTGATGTAGTTCTTCCAGTTTTTTCTAGTCTACTAGTCAAAGCCATCAGCATAACTTGCCTAATTAGAATAAACTCTAGCTGGATTCTCTGCCGCCTCAATGATACCAACTGACCATCTTCCACTTATGCTCAGAGCAATCTTGCATAAAACTGAAGTTTAATTTCCCTGTGGTAAGCTTTCAATGACTTATCATTACTGTGAGAAAAAAAATGAGAACCAAGACCTGTCATGTAAAGGTACAAGATCCCAGTAATGAATGTAATTGTATTGTATACCTAGAATGTACCAATAAACTCAATAAAAAGAAAAAAAAAAGTCCAACCAAACACTTATTAACATGCAAGCCCTGCTCATCTCTCAGGTCTCATATGGTGATGATCTCTGCCTCGGTCACTATACTCCAGCCACCCGAGTGCTCCCGCATCTCAGGAGCCCCACAACTATGGCATAAATAGCCAAGGACAAGAATCCTCTTATCCAGTTTAATCACAGCTACCCAGAGCTACCACAGGGTCACAACAAATACAGTGACTGCCATGGGGCTCATTTGTAAAGCATATTTCACTCAAGATTAGCATTTTTATGTGTATGCCTTACGTGATAAAGAAGACTAAGAAGAGCTCAATATCTACACATTCATCTTTACAGTATTTTTCCTGCAATTGTTAACGAACTTTCCCATAGCATTAAATGTATTATTCCACTTAGCATTTTTAGTTCCAGAACACTGTTTATTACATTTATCTCAACTTTACAGAAATAAACTGCTGATTAATTTTAAATGTATTGTTGCTTTCCTAGATCTGACAAACAAAATAACATTTTAATTATGTGGTAAAACACACTAGACAACACTATATCTAGGTTGTGGCAGAGAAAAATGGAAGATTTCTTGAAATATTGATAGGAAAATTAACCATATTTACTTTTAATGAGAAATTAAAAATTAAACAGGTATGTAATAAGAAAAACTAAGCAGCTAGAATAAACAAAAGAAACTGAATT